ACTCCCTTGGGTAATGAAGGGTGGGGTGTAAATCCTATCTTTTCTTCTTCTTCTTGTGTGGTGGGCTAGTTGTGGCAAATGGTAGGGAAGCTCAGTATTTCTGTATAAAGTTGTAGGGGCTTTATTGCAATGTGGTATGGCCTGATATTATGTTCTTATTCCAGTGTGGGGTGTGTGGGGGGGCTTTCTAAGTTTCTAAGCAGTGTTCTAAGAAGGCAACTGTTCCTGGGGTTAGCCCAGCCCAGGGACATTGCTAGGGCGGTTCCCAGGCCTCCCTAAATTTCTGGGGAGCCCATCCCTAAACCCCACATGGGTCCACCTCCATAGATAATGACCATGCCTGTGATGTCACTAGATCCTCCCTATGATGTCATTGGGTCCCAGTTCTTTTAATGACTTAGCAATGCCTCTGGCCCAGCCCCAGCCCCCCCCGGAAAATTGGAAAGTCTACGCCCTTGCCCCTACTTGCATGTATTTTGGGACTGTTTTAATCTGCAACGTTTTCATTCTCTTATTAAGGTTCAATTGATACAACATGCAGTGAAAAGCAACATGGGAAGGACTGCCCCTTACTTCTTTGCCTACCAACATGCCAACCTCACCAGTGGGCATGACTGCCATGGTGTAATGCATGAATGAAGCCAAAGCCAACATGAATAGGTCTCCCTACATTTAATCTAGGGATTTAAGAATGCACACAGAGATCACACATGTTGAAACTGGCCAAGATTGGGCATTATGTCACCGTGCATTAGAGGTAGGGGCAGCATGCCAGGTGGGCAGGGCACACTCTCCCCACCCCTCACCCCATATAGGGCCAGGATATTGTCCAAATCAGGTCATTTTATTTACACCTCAACTTCGTTTCAGCCATGTACAAGAACCAACAATTAATTAAAACATTATAGCACATTAAAATTTAATTAAACCAGTTCAACAACAAAAAAACACATGCTCCTGATTTCCAGAATTTTATGGAATTTTCTATGTTCATGAAAGAACAGATTTCTTATATAAAAAGCTATAAATAAAACAAACACACTGGAGAGATACACATTATGATTCAAAACAGTGGAATTAGAAGACCGTAACTCTGTTTAGGATTCCACTGTGTAACAGATTGTACAAAAGAAACAATCATTCCAATGTTTTTAAAAGGTAGTATTATATATTCTAAAGCTACTCTACAGCACAAAGCAATGAAAATTAAAACAAAAACTTACCACGACTATATATCGAGGTCTGTATTGTATGGTGCCAAACAAACCCAAAATGACAGCTATTATGTGCAGAAAATTACCAAGGATGGGGGCCCACTGGAATCCAAGGAAGTCAAAGATCTGTCTCTCCAAGGCAGCTAACTGTTAAGAAAACAAAATATGAGAGAAAATGCTGTAATTAGGATTAAATCAGACTATTATTCATAGCTATAACATCATGCTTAAGACTCTGTGCTGATCCTTTTTAATAAAACTGACAATTATATATTATGATTTCACAAAGGATTTATCCAGTTGTTATTCATGGCTGCAAAAAGGACTTTAAATGGATCTGGTTTGTTATTTGATATTGAAAAGAGATCACATCAGATAAACACAGCCAGTCATTTTTTGTTTTTTAGTTTGGGTTCTCCTTATGGAAGTTGTCAGCCCTTATGATCTCATACCAATCTTTCTCATACCAATCTTTCCCAAAGATAGAGGGTTTTTTTTTCATAACCTACTATTTGGACTGTATCCAGTGGTATACATGGTTCCCTCTTTTATCCTCACAAGAATAATCTGAAATAGGTTAGGTAGAAGGTATGTGATTTGATTTGAACCTCGGTGTCCTTGGCTAAACAGTGTCAGGTACCATGGGTTGAACCCAAAATCATGGCCAGCAGCTTCACAGCCTTGCTCTGTCTGCTCTCTGAGCTGCCTGCCAGCAGGAAGAGTTTCTGGCTCAGTCTCCATAACTGCACTCTCCTTAAAAAGGAACTACACCCTCCGAGTTTTGCCCTCTAGATATAAAGTTGGTTCCTCCTCGGGTAGGGGTGCCCATAAGTCTGATTCATAGTTTAAGACTGTGGTTTTGATACTTGATCCTGCAACATACAATCTGCTTGTATTTGTCTTGCCTTCTCCTTGGACTGCCTTAATGACAGATTCTTCACTTAATCTTGACCACATTTCTGCTCTCAAACTGTCTGCCATGAATTCTGAACTCTGGCTCGACTCAGCATTGTTCCTGTCATATCCTATGAATTTGTCATCTGTTTCTGATCCTCATTTCACCTGACCTCTGATCTGACACTGACTATCTGAACTGCCTTCATACCCACGTCATCTGGCAAAAAGGAATTTAATGTTATGCTGCATTTTCTCTCATGTCCAACCTAAGAGAAACAATAGCAGATGATCACTTTCTTTGCCTATCCAGTCCCATTGTGCAACTCACCAGCTGTTGACACTTTTGTATGACCTCATAATTAAGCAACAACCTTAGGATAAGTTCCAAACCACATGGTCACATCAAACTAATTGGTACACCATAACCAGTAACAACTGCAAGATTATTCTTTCGTCTCCCATGATGCCACACCTCAAAACCTGCCACAGTAGACTAGATGACCTGTGATATGATCCAGCAGAGCTCTTACTTTCTTAACTACTAGAAGACAAGTAATTCTAGCTCCTTCTCTGATCTATGTTCATGTGTCTTTCTGTGACTTGCATTTATTTCCTCTTAATACAGCTTCCTCCATCCATCGCCACATAAGTACCTTACCAGAGAGACAGACACTATCACAGTCACCAAGAAACTGGTGCTGGTGGTATCTGAAGAGAGCCATTATATGATAGATAGGTCCTGTTGATATCACATTTTGTATAACACACACAGTCCATGACTTGCAGAGAGCCCATTCAAAATTATTATCAACCAAAAGAGTTACGTTTACTTCCATTCCTGTCATGGGGCCTGGATCTTGAGGAGGATCACCTGCCTTTCTCTAGCAGTGGCTGTTTCAAGCTGGGAGCCACCTGGCTACCATAAGACCCACCAAGCAAGGCCCATGCCCACTTTCCTGAAACATGAAGCAGGTGCCAGATTGGAGAACAATGCTAAGAAGAGCGACAAGTGCCATGTCAAAAAGTTACATGTGGTTCCTGAGACACTGAGTGAATATCACTGATACAACTGTTTACTGAAACCTAGGGAGCAGTACAGTAAAATTAAAGATCTCTTCAGAGACCCATTTCTACTTGAGACATCCCCCCCCAGTGTCACCAGTGTTTACCCCTGACTCCAATTATATTGCTTTCTCTCTGCCAATCTGTTGACTATAACTTTAGCTCTTCTTGAAGCTGACTGCAGATCCAACTATAGCTTTTCTTGGAAATAACTCATGCTATTTTTGCCTTGGGCTCCTATTCATCACCATCATATTGCCCCGAGGCATGCCCCATAGCTGGGATTCTCACAGCTACAAACAGAAAACACTCCACTTAGTGTTGGCTTGAAAGAGACCTGGAAAGGGTAAATGTTAAAAGGAAGCAAATCTCAGGAGCATTGTTTATTCTGCCGTTGTCTACCCCAGAATGAATTTGTACCTACAGGGGTAGGTATTTTAAAAAAGAACTTGTCACTTAATCTGAAATTGAATACTTAGATGAGTACGATAACATGGGAAATGTACATGGGCTTATGACAGAACTGAAGAAAAATTCCAGTGAAAATATGCTATTATTACTGGAAAAGAAAATGTCAAAAATTGCAACATTTAAAAAACTTTATACATTTTTTATTGTCAGCATGGAGGCTACAATAAGCATTCTTGGTTTTCTAGGTTTCTATAAGCATTCTTGGTGTTGCTATGCTTTGCAGGGCTACCTAATCACAATTCATAGCCTCAGTGACTTCTGCTAAGCCAAATGAACTGACAAGGTCATATAATATCTATAAAGTACTGAGACTGATGCATATCATTGTGATTTCAGCTCATACTTTATTAGTGAAAAGAGAACTTGAGATACTTGTGGGACCCGAAGGTCAATTTATATTCCCAATCAAACCACACCCAACACGCACACCCATTCCCGTGATAGGCTATATACAATACTACTTTCCCACATTGGTATCGACCCCCACGCACCGGCCTGGGCACACGCTTGATTTGATCTTCGCGGCTGGAGTAACAGTGGACTGGATTACTGCATTAGCAGTACCATGGTTGGACCACTTTGCCCTGAAGGCCCATCTGAACATGCCACCCCAACCCTGTTTAGGCGGCAAGCAGATTTTAGCTCGCCCGTGGAGCCAAATGGACCCGGAGTGGCTTCAGATGGCTCTGAGGGATCCGAGGCCCCCCGGCAACTCGTTGGATGAACTTGTGGAGGACTGGCATAACCGGTTCTCCACAGCCATTGATGAGATCGCTCCCCGGTGCCCTCTGCGTGCTCGCTCTAGGCTAGCTCCCTGGTATATGCAGGAGTTGCAGCTGATGAAGCGAGAGCTAAGACGGCTAGAGAGACAGTGGCGCAGTGCTCATGACAAGGCTACAAGAGCATCTTATAGGACATTTATGAGATCCTATGATATGGCAACCAAGGCCGTGAAAAGACAATTCTACGCGGCCACGATTGCAGCCACAACCTCTTGCCCAGCCCAATTGTTTAGAAAGATTTGGTCATTAACAGCGCTGCCACAGGGCAGGCAAAATGTTAGGGAATTGGATATTGGCTGTGAGGCATTTGCAAGCTATTTCGCGGATAAAGTCTTGGCGCTCTGCCATGACCTCCCCGCCACAGTTGAAACAGTGAGTGAGCTCAAAGCCCCTTGCACATCCTCAATTCTGGGTTTGGATTGTTTTAGACCGCTCAGCCTGGAGGAAGTTGACAGATTGCTTGCATCTGTGTGCCCAACCACATGCAGCCTTGATCTGTGCCCTTCCTGGCTCATTAAAGCATGCCACGAGGGGTTTCGAGGTGCCCTAAGGGAGATTGTCAACAAGTCCCTTTCCGAGGGGCAGTTTCCGGGGGCACTCAAGGAAGCGATGGTCTGCCCTGAAAAAACCATCACTGGATCTGGCCAAATTGGCCAACTAATGGCCAGTTTCCAATTTGGCCTATTTGGGCAAATTAATTGAGAGGGTGGTGGCGATACAGCTACAGGGCTTTCTGGATGAAGCTTCTGCCTTAGACCCTTTCCAGTCCGGCTTTCACCCAGGACATGGGACGGAGAGAGCGCTGGTCACCCTAACTGACAACCTCCGGAGGCATCTGGATCGAGGCGGTGTGGCAGTATTGCTGTTGTTAGATCTGTCGGCCACATTTGACATGGTCGACCACCAGCTGCTGACCCATTGCCTTGCTGACGTGGGGATACAGGGACTTGCCCTCCAATGGCTCGCCTCTTTTCTTCAGGGTCAGGGATAAAGGGTGGCACTAGGGGAACAACAGTCCCAAAGATACCCACTTGAATGCGGTGTACCACAGGGGGCTGTGCTTTCCCCAATGTTGTTTAACATCTATATGTGCCCCCTTGCCCAGAGGTTTGGGCTAGGGTGCCATCAATATGCAGATGACACCCAGCTCTATCTGATGTTGGCTGACCGGTCAGACTCCAGCCCAGAAGATCTGAACTGGGCATTGCAAGCCATGGCTGGTTGGCTTCGACTGTGTTCGAGAATAAGCTTGATATTTGCTTTATGGATTGTTTATTGCTACATACGATGGACTGTGCACACACACATAGGCTCAGAAAGCTGTACACTTTAAGTCACCTGTTGTGATGCTACACATAGAAGGTGCCTGCACATACCTTACATGTAAATAAGGTTTCAGCTACACAATTACCCAGCCTGGTGAAGAAGCACAAACCTCCATTATTGTGAGCAATGGAACAACAAGGAGGAGACAGCCCCCATGACAGAGCTTCTTGTAGTCATGTACTACCCATCGCCTGCTTTGTTCCTGAGCTGGTATTTCCTGCCATATGGACATTTGGTTATCAAAGAAACTGGCCAGCTTCATCAGCACTACAATGGAGCATCCTGATACCTAGGTTTCACACCTGTCCAGATGCCATACTTCGAGTAAGGTTTTAGGTTACAATATTGGCCACCCCTATTAGGTAACCTCCCCATCCCACATGCAACCAATAGGATTGTTTTTGGGACGGACTAACAGGTAGGTGGGTCAAGAGGTTGGCACAGTTACAGCCCATCTCTTGAACCCACTAGAAAATGAGAGAACCAATCACCTGACTCCTCCTAGCTAGCATTCCCCCCAAGACGACCCCTGTCTGCTTTTACCCCTCTTAAGTCCCACTTGCTACCCCCAACCCTTGCCTCTACTGCCCATGCGTTCCGGCTGGTTCTGGTCATGTGTGAATTCCCTTTGTTTTCCATTTCTTCCCCTCCATTCTTCATTGGAACAACCAAGCTGCAAGACAGATAAGTATTGCCCGTCATCACCCCTACCTGCTAATGCAAAAGTGCT